TGTGTGTATGATATGTATGTGTGTATAAGCGTTTATATGAGTGTGTGTGTGTTACACGTATGCACTAGTATGACACGTGTATTGAGGCGTATGTTTACGTATATACGATATTTTGGGAAGCATCCCGTTTATCAGCGAAGAATCAACGCGCAACTGAGCATTCAGTAATACTCAGTATCGTCAAGCCTCTCGAAGTATCGATTGCGTAAGTATCGTGAAGGACGTGAAGTATCATTGATCCCCTCTCAGACACGAAAGAGAACTGATTGAACTGATCTAAGAAAATAGATTATTTTGCTTCGTCATTTCCCAGTCTGTACTTGACTAATTCAAGGTCTGAACGCAGAGTATAATACGAATTTTTCTCCTGCGTGAATTAAGCGGCAAGTAATCCGTGAGAGGTGTCAAATTACGAGCGATAATCGGCCCACGTACAGCTCATTTCATTCAATTCGCTTGCCTGATTGTCGCAATGAAAACTCGGCATCCTTGGAGTTAAATGAAATGAAAACTCATTGCTTGCGCGGACTTTGTCAGTTCGCGTCAGGTATCTTTGATAACTATAGAGACGATTATAGATAATGTATTATTGATAATAATAAATTCCGAAATCGATTGGAAGAATTTTGCATGCCGCCATTTCTATGCTCGATTTTTTTCATTTGCGATTCTTACAATTGCTGACCAATTGTCTCAAGAAATTTTCTATTATTTGTTGCAGTATCGTCTGTGTCGTGAGATATTTACCTTCGCTGAGACCTGTTGCATCTGCATTGATCGTAAGTTATACGTACCTCGCTAAATTATTTATAAAAAAAAGCGTACGATTGTGTTTTTCCGATTGAGGTCAAAGATCGCTCTAATATTATCCCTGGCAGACCGACTGAAATAGCTTGAGACACTGCTTAGAAATTAACTCAAACTTTAATATTTGCTATATGTTAAAGAAAAAAATATTATATGCGTTTAAAGAAAAAATTAGTTTTTTTTTTTAGTTTATCGCAAGCTCATTGAGTGAATCTCGTCATTGTTTATCAAAGCCGACAGAAATTAATCTTCTGCTTGTTGATTTGATTTTTTTCGTTTTATTAATTTTTTCGCATTAATCAGCTGATAATTCACAAATGACACAATGCTTATATTCATAAGGTGCATCCAGAAGCACAATCGCTCACTGAGCACTCAATGAGCTCTTGTACCTGTTTGGTCTGTATTTTTAGATCTAGTGGAATATACTAATCAGATGCCAGAGCTCAGTGAGCGGTCGTACTTGTGGATGCACTCATAAACCGATATTTATAGTCGGATCTTATGTTTAAGATCATCTTAAGTACGGTTTTAAGAAGTCACGAACCAATCCAGAAGGCTGCATTAGCGTCTTAAGACATTACTTAAGACGATCTTTAAATAAGATTCGATTATGAATACCGGTCATAATAAAAGTCTTATATATTTAAGGCTTCCTTAAATTATCTTCTAAATATGAATTATTTTATTAGCTACTGAATATCTAAAGATAAATTTAAGGAAGTTTTAAAAAGGCTGAAATATGAATATAGACATAAATCCTTAAAATTACAACATCCAATAATTAACAATGCAATATTGTAATGGCCTTTTATTAATAAAAAATATATTATTTTGGTTACGTATAAGTGACAGTGCCACCTCAAATATGATAAACAATTATTAGTTTTAAAACAAATTTGTTATAACGCTGCAACGTATACAGCATATTGTGAGACTAATTTAAAATTTATTTAATACGGATAATCTTATTTCAAAGTGATTATGGCGAGAAAGTGATGAATTTTTAAATTTCATGAATTGCGTATCACAATGTGCACACGCGCACGTTTTATATTAAGACTCCATCTGTAATTTTTTGGCACAAGGAAAATTTTATTTTTTAATTTTTTAATTTTTGTTTAAATTTTAATTTTTATTAAATAAAGGTTTTAACATTTAAACAAAAACTATTTGGTAATAAAGATGTTGAAAAGACCTGAATTTTTCCATATTTTTTTAAAAGTCTAGAATAGTAAAAAAAACTTGGGCTGGACAAAAAATCGAGATTACACATGAAGGGTTAAAATAAGTACAAAAATAATGCTTAAGACGTTTTATCTAATTTCAAGTTTCCTCTTTATTTCTTTTAATTTTTATTTTTTCTTAGAATTTTTTTCTGAATCATGACTTTGAAGTTGTATTACGATTTACTCTCGCAACCTTCGAGAGCAATATATATACTTCTCAAAATGTGGAATATACCGTTCGAAAAGAAGATTGTAAATCTGAAGAATCTCGAACAATATACTCCAGAATTTGAACGGATCAATCCATATAAAAAAGTCCCTGTTATAGAACACGATGGTTTCAACCTTGGTGAAAGGTATTAATTCTTTTCATAGAGTAACATAGAATTATAAATAAAATATCCTTATTTAATTGTTTTTAACAGCCTTTAATTATTTTAGTGTAGGGATTATGCGATACATATGCCGAGAATTTAAAGTGGATGATCATTGGTATCCTTCCGAGTCGAAAAAACAAGCAAAGGTTGATGAATATCTCGAGTGGCAGCATCTCAACACAAGACTTCATTGTGCAGCGTATTTTTTAGCGAAAGTAAATGCTCTCTTTTCTTTAAAAATGTATTCTTTTACACGCTGAATATTTAAACATATTTAAAAAAAATAGTTTCTTAATCCGCTAATGCGAGGTAAGCCGCCAAAACCGGAAAAGATAGCCGAATTGGAAAGTCGTATGAACGATTGTCTTGACATTATTGAGAATGTGTGGCTGAAAGATAAGCCGTTTCTGACAGGAAACACGATTAGCGTGGCTGATATATTCTGTGCTTGTGAATTGGAACAACCGCGTAAGCTACATAAATCTTTCGATTTCATGCAATATGATATATACTGTGATTAAGATTTGAATAATCAAGAATTCTTTTTTGTAGGAATGGCCGGTTACGATCCGAAGAAAGGGAGACCACGTCTGACTGCTTGGATGGAGAAAGTTATCATGGAAACAAATCCTCACTATGAAGAGGCTCACAAATTCTTAAATCAAATAGCTGCACAACAGCCACAGCAAAGCTTTACTTTTAAACTTTAATTGTATATAAAGAGTCTTTCTATGATGTTATAAATATATACATATGGTATATATTTATAGATATATTTATGGTATATATTTACGGAGGTATATATATGTATCAAATATGTAATCTATTTTAATCGATAGATAATATCTAAAATTTGAATTTTATTTTGATATTTTTGATATTCCTTAAATAAATATTTACATTTATATTATTGTATTGTATTATGAGAAAAGTAATATATCGTTTGTTTTCTATCAATTTATTTGCCATTTATTCATTTTAATAAAACTGCGGTGCTGCAATTTTTTTTACAAATTGTTATAAAAGTATAAAAAAGTTGATTATGATTATATAACAATTAAAAAGCATTAGAGCGTGTGTGTGTGCGCGCGCGTGTGTGTGTGTGGGGGGGGGGCGCGCGCGTGTGTGTAGTGTTATTTTTTATAGATACGCGACTTTTAAGTACATATTAATAAAAATAATAATATTATATCAACTGTTTTTAGACACACATTTTCCATTAATAATTTAAATTATTTTTCAAGTTACTGACTGCAGCAAGGCCTCTCGTTGTAATCATGTTGGAGTAAGATATCGATGATGAGAAATCACATTGTAAAAAATTCATATTAAGAAAAAAACAAGACTCAATATTAAAAATGAGATATATACAATAAAATCAGTAAATTGGAGTATTATGACGCTATATTTCATACGCAAAGTTTTATATATAAAACATTTGATTTTACTTTTTTACTTAAATATATAAAATATATATAAAATTTGTATATGAAGTATTACACCGTATTCTTATTTACCGACTTTATTGTAAATTTTACTTTTAAAATTCATATGATTTCTCGTTTCTGATACTATAATCCAACATAATTGCAATGAAGAATCAGGAGTCTTAATAGAACAAAATTGCAGTCGAATGCAATTTTTATGACTTATACTGTAACGACTTATGACTGTAAGGTACATGAGAGGTAGCACGTTCGTAACATCTGTTACATTACAACATGTAATATACCGATGAGCTTATACTTTCCATATTATAGCTATTGCACAATATATACGCCATTTACTGTATAATAATAGATAAGATATAATGCGAAGTGCGCTGAATTTTTTGTATTTCGCAGTTCATAATTTACAAAGCAGAACATTAGACTGTGAACAAAGTATCATAAAATTACAGTAAGCGTTTATCTTACGACCAGGCACACTTTATCACATTCGTGGTGTAAATCCGATGCGACTGTAAGACAGAACTCGCATTCATTATAATTTATAATACATTGACTAGAGATACATAAATTATTGGGGTGAAAATATATGAATATCAAAACAATAACACATTTTGTATATCGTTCATTTTTCTTGATTATTGTTTTAGTTATTGAACATGCTCATTAATATTTTACAGATATTAATTTGTTTATCGATTGCCTTGTAGTTTTTACGATAATTTTCAGACAAGTTTTTTTAACTTAGGCATCTTCTTGGGGCATTTCTCTACATGGATACTCCAGTGACGAGTTTGGCATCTTTCGTCGCAGTAGAAGGCTGTTTCACAACCTAGGCACTTGAACATGGATCCGGTGAGGCCACAATTAGAGCACTCCAAATTATTCGTAGTTTCCAAAGTACGATTCACCTTACCCAGATGCGGCGTTTCACAGTTACGATTCTCTTTCCGCACGGGTTCCTTGGCGACCAACGTGTTATTGGACGCGTTATTGGACGCTAATATCGTAGCGGATTTGTACGTAGGCACTGAGGATGCTACTGTCGACTCCTGTGCGTTGTCGTCATACATCGCTGTAGACGATTGAGAATAAGTATCATCCGCTTTCACGTAAGGTAATCTATCCAGTATTAAATTTTGCAATTGACGGTAACTACCATTATTCAATCGCGAGTCTATATTGACGCCACCGACTGATTGCACCTGTTCTTGTGGTAAACGTTCGCGATTTGCCACTCTATTCGTCATCAGCTGCGAAGATTCATTATCCATGACACCGCCAATTCCTCCAGGTACCATTTCTGTGTCAGTTCTTCCGTAGGATGGTAGCGTACCACGCTGTCGGCCGAAGGAAGCTGCCGCAACCACCGCAGCAGCTGCCGCTGCAGCAACGACATCCGGGATCATCCTATTTCTGCCACATTGACTATTGCTCGCAGGATAGCCAGCCAAGGAAGTGCGTGCCAAAGATTGCTGCGCGGAAGCTGGTAACGATGGAGGTGGCGGTAACAGCAGTGGTGGCAAACAGGTCGACGTGGTACCGTTTTGCGTAGCAGCTGTCGCCGTCCTCAGACGATCATAGTCCAAGCCGGCAGCAGCGGCAGCTGCCGGCTGATAGCCGCCCGCGGATAAAGTACCGGAATATTTAAGGAGATCCGCGGTAAAGTGACGAGACGCCGAATCCTGCAGATGAGTAGGATAACGTTTGTCAAGATGTTGCATCTGACGGAGTGAAGCTGCGTGCGAATCTTGCAAAGGACCTAATTGGTAGCCGCTTATTGGCGGTGCGGTAGCGTGCAGACGTGAATGATAGGGATAATCGCCGTAAGGACATACCGCTGAGTGGTAGCCAAAAGCCGCACCGTAAGGTTCGATCTGCAACGGTAAACTAGCTAAATGATTGAATGATGAGGTGACTACATATGTATATTGTGAACTAGATACATAGTTCTCTAACCGATTGTGAAATAAAATCGATATCTAGTAGACGCGTTTCGTTTATATATTGATTAGTTCATTGATCTTCTTATCTCTTACCGCATAATTCGATGGATAGAACTGGGTAACTGAGATAGGTGGACAGATGCCCGGTCTCACTGGAGGTATAACTGATGATGCATACATTTGTTGCTGACGTTGCTGATACTGCTGACGCTGCCACCTTTCCGTATTCCATTGCGGCGCTACGTTGACTATGTTGTTTCGAGTCGCATTACTTGGTGCATTTGAGCGGATCTTTTGCGCCTCCACTCCAGGAACCTGTTTGCGAAGGAACAGTAGAAAATTCATTAGTAGAAAATGATTCATCGAAATAATTCATCGAATGAATTGGTGAAAATATAACTTACACGAGCGACCTCCGCCGTTGACGCAGTTGGTAAACTTATTCCAGATTGTAATTTAGATTTCGATTTAGTAGCTTGTTTCTTCGACATTCGCGCTACCCAATTACCCAGCGTAGGAAATTGCTCCGTCATAATACGATTTCCGTCATTTCGCTGATTGGTATTCTCCTGAGTGACTCTGTTGCTATTAGGCAGACTAATATATCGATTGCGTGAAAAAACATGTTAAATTCCACATATATAGATCAAACTTAGAATTATGTAACACGTCATATATTACACTTACACGATACATTGCTGATTTGAGCTGCTAACAGTAGATCTAGATTGAGCAAAATTCAAGGGTATTGCTGGATCCAAGGCAGCAGATTGATTCATGCTTGATGTTACCTAAAATTACGCAAAATACGTTTTATAACTATAAAACTCGGATCAAAATTATTTTTTGTAAATGCTCGAGTCTTTCATTGATAAAAAGAAAAAAATAAATACATAATTGTTAATAATTAATTACAACATAGCATAATACAGGACAATTATTAAATTATTGCGTATAATAATTTGTAACGTATAATAATTTTTAACAAGAAAAGGTATGAGATACGATGGCAATAAAAAAAAATTAACTGGCAATAAATTAATATAGATTGTTCCACACAATTGTATTTTTCATAGAAATGTAGATGATACTTGCAATTTTATGGAGTTCAATATTTTACGCAATTGTGTGTTGTTGACTATTATTAATCCATAATTATTCATAATTTTTGACAGATTACCTTCTCCCTCGAATTTTGGATGACGTCTGTGAAGACGACGTTCTCGCGTGCGACAGACGAGCCGTAATAATTCGACTGTAGTTGCAAGATGTTAGTCACATTGGCGGCGGGTACTTGTCTGACCATCTCTTCTTGTGCAGCTGTAACTGTACTCGTGACTACTCTATTCTTAACATTGATTTTCTCTTCTGAGTAAGTTCTGTATTTCATCGTTTTCCTAGTATCCTCCATGATCGATGGATTAGATGGTAAAGCTTCGTTCGATTTCTGTTCCAGCTTCTGTTTCTCGCAGGCGACTTGTTTGTTTTCGGTTTCCGAAACCTGTGTTACTTCGTCGAGATGTCCCTGAGCGACAGGTCTTTCTTTCATGTCTCTCATTTCGCTTCCATCTATTTCAAGGTCCATTGTCGAATTCAGAAAGTTGTCCGAAGGCATCGTCGGTGTTGTTTGTCGATGTTCCTCAACGTCGCTAAATGTTTTAGTATCCTCCGGAATTTTCTCCTCGATTTCCGGATTCTTCATTTTCGACAAAGTTTCTTCTTCGTTCCACTCCGCCGTACTGTTTTTCGGATCTTCAAACTCGGACGATGAAACCGGAGATATAGCTGGCATTGTTACATCATCGTGTATTATCGTTTGATCCGTATTATTCACCTTGACTTCTTTTTCGATTGGCGAGCTCGGCGAGCTGTCGCCTTTATGCCAGCTTTTGGTGACGACCAAATTTTGCTTCAGACATTCGAGAGCAGTTGGTTGGATTGCTATGTAAACTCTGGGTAATACTGGTGGACTGTCTCTCATCGCGTCGGGCGATTTACCTTTCTCGTAGTCGATGGGAGAACGCGGCGACAATTTCGGTGGTTCCGGTGAAGGAGACGGAGAAACGCTGCTTCTGGATATTCCATTCATCTTTTCAACATAAATATATTAATTAGTATTTATGATATCATATGAAACAATCGATTTTTTTTACAACATACATGTTTATCTATCGAATTACAACCCGAGGAAGGGCGATCTTTTCAGGAAGAAAGAAGGATGTTAAAAAGGGACGGTTTAAAGAGGCATAACTAAAGCTCAGTTTCATAATGGTTAACCGAGGTTCGACTTATTTCTCATATCTTTCTAATTCTAGCTAGAAAGAGATGAGAAATAAGTTAAACCTCGGTTAAGAGTTGTGAAACTGGGCCTAAAAGGAATAGTGTTTTTTGTAGATTTTGGCCTTCTGTAATGTGTGTGTAGATGCGATAAAATGATTAAAAAATTTGTAATGTTTAGAAAACACTTCAATAATTAAGCACAAACATATATTTATCCAAATTTCAATCTTAATCTTGCTTAATTTTCGAGATATTTCCCAAGCATAACGAACTTTTTAATAACTTTATCATATTGAAGAAATCAAAATCTACAAAAAATTATTCCTTTCCTTACACTTTTTCGGACAAAATCGGCTTCTTTTTAACATCCTCTTTTATTTTATTCTGAGAAGAGCATTTCATTTTTAATTTCTGTCATATTCTATTTACCTGCTCGATATCACTGTCAACAGCAATTTTCTCAGCTGACGTGCGCTCGTCGTTCAGTTCGTTCTCATAGTCAAGATCAACAACGACGTCGTCGGTCGTCGGCGGAATGGAGGCGGACAACTTGCATAGCAGCTTCGAGATGTTCTCGATTTGCTTCTCGTAGCAATTCATCATCTGCCGCAGCCGGGTGTTGCGCTGCGGGCTCGTGTCGGTGGCATTATTGCACACGGTCATCTCCCGCGAGAGCTCCAGCGCTTTCCCGCGAAGTTCCCGCAATTTCTGGCGCAACCGGTTGCGACGATACTTGATCTTGTAGCCGTCGCTCTTCGGCGAAGATCGCCGACTCTTATCCTGCGTGTTGTCCGATGATTCGAGCTCGTTCTCCGAGGCTTCGCTGCTCCAGAAAGAAGTAGTGGAGTATCCGGACGGAGATTCCGGACGTGGCGTGGCCCCGGTGACAATGCGATAATTGGACTCGCTTCCTATCTCAGAGTTCACTTCGATATTATGTCGATATTCGTCAATGGTGCTCGCTGAGGAAAATAAATAAATAATAACGATGTATAAAGAAATCTACATTCTTTGAGTGCATTGAGTGAAATATTTTTTTATTAAATTATAAAATGAAAAATTCATCAAAATTAAGTACCTTGTGGTAGAATTTCTTTGTATAAGAATTTCGATAAATAATCTAAATTAAATATTGACAAAATTATTCATGTTACTCCTTAAAAATGTTAATTAAACATTGAATACATTAAATACTGTACCTTCACGCACAATCTTCTTCAGTCTTAATGGTGGCACGACTTTGTTACAGATTTCCTTCTTTTCTGCCTCTGGCTCCGTCGTTGACACCTCCACCGGTGAGGAGTATCTTTTATCGGGTATCCCGAGACGAGAATCCCACAGCCTCACTAATACATGTTGCTGCAATTTTCTTTCTCCTTTGTCGGCCAAATTACCGGAATAAGTTTTGGAATACTCTTTTAAAATATTTTTAACGCGTTCGTCGCGTACATGGCCGGCTTCGACTTCGTGGGATTTTCTCCGCTTCTTCACATCCTTGGTAATTTCTTTCTCATATTCCTTGTCCCGATCTTCGCTATTTTTTCTTTTAACGCTATTGACCTCTTTCGTAATCTATAACGTATCATTATCAATATCAACAACGTCGCATAATTAAGGCTGATAGTTAATTTTAATTTCCAATTTCGATCCATAAACAATGCTTTTGATTAGTCAAATTTAATGTAGGTCATATAGAGAACAATAAAACTATAATGACAAATCAATATTATTTCGTAAGACCACCCTCTAGTGCATAAATTCGCATATTTTCGTACGAAAATTTAAATATGCAACATGTATTAAATTATTTATGAATTAAAGAATTACTAGAGGGTAATCTTACGAAATAATATTGATTTGTCATTATCTATTATTCTCTACATGACATCTATTGACCTACATTAAATTTGACTAATCAAAAGCAAGCATTATCTACGGATCAAAATTCTCTTGTTTGTTAAAAGTGTAGTATACTCGAAAATAATCGTTTTCTTTTTGAAAGGGAAAAAAGAATAAGAAATGCCCAGTGCTACCTGCACGACATTAGTCATGTCTGGAAAAATGTAGTCCGAGCGATCGATGAATTCGCCCGGAAGCATCATTCCGTTTCCGTTTCCATCCTGCTGCCCGAAAGGGAATTCATTCAACTCGCTCGTCAAGCAGCTGCTCGGAGATACGTTTGACTGCAACTCGACCACGTCCAAGCTCGCGGATTTCGACAGCTTGAGAATTGGCGAACGTGTCTTCCGCAACGTTACTATCGACGCTGACCTCGTCGGTGTCGGCGGCGCTGGTCGGATCGGTAAAGAGCGATTAGGCTGCACGGGGATCACGCAAGGACCACGATCCCTCAAGGCGGTCGCCAAACTGCTGCCCGTACCACGTTGCTGCAATCTGCTAGAACTGTCGGCTATCATGATGCGAGGTTCTGGAAAAGTGCGGAATTTATAATTAGATATCTTTGACATGACAGAGGAACACGCCTACCCTAAAATGTCCGAAATCACTTTAAAAAAAATGCTCATTTGATAAACGTATTTTAATTAGATCTTTTTTAAAAATAGTCTTTTGTTTTAAATGTTAATTTTAATTTTACTTTCAAAACAGCCACTCGTTTTAATAACATTAATGAAATTCAGTACACCATCTTCTTAGAAGCTATTTCTAAGCGAATAAAGTCTTAAATGAGTATGATTTCGAACAATATATATTTCGAAAGACTATTTAATCGAGGCAACAAATGTAAATTGATTTGAATGAAATTTTCATTGATTTTTATTTAATTTAATCTAGTTTTTAACATCACTAATTTAGTTTGTAGCATCAAAAATTTTAATTTTCAAGATAGATATTTTTTAAAAAATTCATAAAAAATATTTTTGATATAAATTTAACTTTTTATACTAAAATATTTTTTCAGATTCCATAATCCTTGGAGAATGACCGTGAATGAAGCACGAATTTATTTTTATACTTGTACGTAATCAAATGTTAAAAGCTGTACGTTGAAGAAATAATGAATAAATGAAGATTAGACCGGTTTATTCATACTTGTACTAATTGATTTTTCTGCGAAGATAAGGTAATTATATTTTATTTCTAAACGATTGTTTCTAAACGTAGCGTACATTGTGGTAATATATTATCTACACTTGAACATATATTCGATATCGCAGCTATAGATCGACGACGTTACTTAGGTAACATATCGCTGTTCATTATCACGTTCTCACCCGACATTTCTGAGCTTTCTTCGGCTTTGCTGAATCGTTTTAAAATTGTCTGTTTCCAGGTAGCTTGCTTAGACTCCTCGCTGGTTAGATCCACGAGAATTGGTGCTTTTTCGTTCGCCTCTGCCGAGGCGACTGTGCTCGATGTGGAGGCCGTCTCTACGTCGCCGATGTCACTCTCATAATAATCCAGATGTTCCGCCAGTTCTTCGTCTTGGTCGCTCATCAGGTCCTCTTCAGTCTTGCGTATCTTCGCGGCAACGGTGACGCTATCCTGCTGCTGCAGTTGACACTCCACGCAATCCTTGCATGTGGCGCACACATCGACCTCATCATCTTCGAGCTCCGTCGAGCTGGAAATCCGCGGACAAGCCGTCCTTTCTTCGTTACCACTGTCACTGTTCTCGCAGAAGAGTTCGACGATGTCGCAGGCGATGACATTGGAATCGTTCGCATCGATAATTGTGGAACATTCATCAAATCGTGGTAAGCTCTTCTCGGTATCATTAGATTTGTCGCGTGTTTTGCTACGGGATATCGTGATCCTGGGCCAATGGGTTTTGGATGCAAGCGTCTGATTGGATTTATCTTTCTTCCTCTTCCGCGGCTTTAGCGCGATGGCCAAGTGTTGATTGTGCGATTGCATCCTTCTTGTGCGTTATGATCGAGTGACATGAGACTCGAGGACTTCTCCGAAAGTTCAATAAATAGTTCGCCGAAACATTTCGTGTCCTTTTAAAATTATTTAGATGAACATTCTCCTCCCTAGCATTCGCAAGACACGCACTGTAGTAATAATTGTGGTTGAAAGAGGGTGGGGGAGAGTTGAAAGAAGGATAATTAAGTATTAAAGAGCTAACGGTATACTTTAACAGTTTTGGTCGATGAAGTTGAACAAAGTCTCGCGATGCAAATAATATATATGGGGGAGCAAAGAGACGCTCGCGCTCGCGAAAGGGAAAACAATAATTGCGAAGCTTCGTGCGCTACATGTCAACCATTCTATATGGTGTTTTTTTTCTTTTTTTTTTCAGAAGTCTCCTATCGATTCCCATCGATCGTTTCTCGTACGCATCGTGCATCGAGTGTCTTTCATTCCGCATTTATGGTAACAGAACACACGAAAAAGGGAGAAATTACGTTTCGCACGCGATGTACCTCCCTTGCCCCACCTTCTCTTTCTGTTGTCGGACGCAAAACACGCATTTCTTTTTTTTTTCTTACATGGAAATTCACGGTCGCGCCGAAGAAGTTGAAAGCGAACCCTCGTAGCGTCGATCGAAAATCGTAAAAAAAAAGGTTTACTAAAAACTTTCTTCGCTGCAACATGCACATGCATGAGATGTAATTACTGTACATTTAACTTAACATTGTGAATATAATTGTTGAATGATACGATAATCAAACGTTTAAGCAAAATTACCGGTAGTGCAGAGCCAGTACAAAAATAGAAACGAGCTCATAGTTTAGATTATGAAATTGATGGTATTTTGCACACATTTATAAAACCTTCAATGATATCTATTTTTACAATTATTTAGCTATTATATTATAGTTACAAAATAACTCGTAAGCGACTTTTCTATTTTTTTTAAATTAAATAATTTAAACTAAAAATAGAGACAAAAGTATGAGCGATATTCTTTTTAATTTTCACCATTTATTTCTAATTTAAATTGCATTATGTATTATTATATATATAATTAATAATTATATTTATTAAATAACATTTTTAATTTGATGATTTTATATGTGTATATAATGAATATTATAATATGTTTTAAAGAATATTTCCTTTTTTCGCAAATAACGTTTTTGTTTATGTTCGTTTATGTATACATATTTTTGAATTTTATGTCATTTCTTTCAGGTAAAAAACATGATAGAACTTGTGAGAGAATTATAAAAAAAAAATATTTAACATTACCAGTCAGCAAACTTGAATCCCATTTATCGAGATCACGTTCTCAATTTTGATAATGAAAGAAGTACGGATGTGCTTTGCAAATTACCTTTGCAAATTATCTTTGGTTAAATAAATGTAGATATAAATAAATTGTGCAAAATTATGACATCGACACGACGACATCAAAATCTACACAGATAAGGTACTATTACATTTAATTTACAGTTACTAAGATATGTTAAGACATGTGTATTATATATCATAATTTTCATATCAGATCAAAAACAGATATCCCTCTGTGCTACATAACGACGGAGCTCACGAACGAAGGTTTACTTCTCGTTATCTTTCTATCGTTGCTTTCAATCGTTAGCATCTGCGAGTTAATGTATACTCCACACTGAATTACATCACCAATATCACTGCGGCAGGAATTATGTGTCAGCTACCCACTCATCGGAGACGTCACCAATCCTACAATAAGATAAAGATGACACAACTTGCTGCTCTCCTTCTCTTCTATTTTTTCTCTTTTCTTTTGTAGACTATCTATTTCCTTTGAGTCATAATATTGCGCCTTCTTTTTATCCTCCTCTCTTGTTCCATTCCAATTTATACGAAAACTTGCACAAATTTTCACAGTTTAATGTTAATTTTACCTCGCATTATCTAAAATCTTTATTCGGAACTTTTACAGCGATAATGAATCAGCTGAACTCGCTATCCTCATTCATTGTCACACGGATCTACCGAGCCGCGGCGAATGTCATCCTACGCGCCTTAGAGACGACGTTCACAGTATATACTTCCTCACGTGTGTCATACGAGCTATAATATAGACTGTCATGCGAAGGAGCGAGCCGGCCGGCGAAGCGATAGAGCAATATATTTTTCCCCCTCTATTTAACACCACACGCGTGTCGGCTGGCTCTCTTTCGGGAGCCCTTCGATGCGACATGCGTATTTCAATTGGCCGTTCAGGACGCGCATCTTCTGGCGCAGACGGAAGGACGATCGGAGAAGGGACACGCAAGTCGATCACGTTGATGTCTCCACGCAACTACTTTTTTTTTCTCCAGCTCCGTCGCGCACCTACGCGACACTACATTCCCGAGAAATTTATTCTTTTTGAAGGTCAAACCAAGAAAATTTAGGAGTCCTCGAAACTTAGGGGAACCTTCAGTTTCGAAAGTCTTTTTTTTTTTCATGTCGCTGTGAAAACCATTGTTTTCAACAATACTCAATACACTTATTTTACTAACCATCGTAAAACATATTAGGTCGCATTACAGACAACAAAGTTGCTAATGGTTTACTTATCTACAGTTTTATGCGGTTGTACGGTCGTTCAAGGATTAACGATAAGTACGTGACGATAAAAACGCGGCTGGTACGCGCCGTAAAACTTCACGCGCGCCTTCTCTCCGTTTTGATTGATGTTTTCTATAAGTATCGACATAAATAATAATTTTATATAGTCATTATCATTATCATCTTAAAATCATAAACTAGGTTCTGGACATTGATCTCTTCGAAATAAAAAGAAGTAAATAGTAACAACGTCAAGCGAATTATCTTTTTCTATTAGATCTGCTTTTACGAGGCTTTGGCTAGATCGACGAGTCTCGCAAGTGCACATAAAACTCGTTCGCGTCGTAACAACGGCATTCCAAGTTGGAGAACTCGTTCCGACGTCGTCGCCGAAGAAAAAAAATGAAGTAAATATAATAAATAATAAAATTTCTACGGCTCTTTCTAAGTCGTGGCCGGCTCGGAAAACTTTTGAGCGCCTCATCAATACAAAGGGGGATGTATGTATGCTTCATGCACCCCACACTGATAATGTTAGCGTGACGCGTATAACCAGGCGGCAGAACCCTTTCGCAGAGAGAAAAGAGGCTCTTTCATAATTTACCGGTCCACTTACAGGTATCTTCTTTGTAGTTCTGCGTTATATAAGCTAGCTTAGTTAGTGTACGTAGTGCAACCTTGTGCTACCCCACCTGGCGTCCGAAAGAGTCTGGCGTCGTTTCTTTGAGTGGTACTTTCTAGCGAACGTAATATAGTTTCCGAAGAGAGGAGAGGAGGATCCCTTTCGATCGCACGCTCGTCCCAAAGGATTACTTACGAAAGTATCCAACATTACGTCACGCTCCATATCGATACCATTCTCAGGAAATGTACAAATGTATAATTAATTAGAAAACGATGTCTAAACGTCGTGCCACGTTCAACGTTAATTAACCGATAATGAACAATGGGCGATGATAACGAAAAAGATATAGCAGCCGTTTTCTTTGTTATGACAACGACACGTGCAGCGATGTGAACGATGAATGCTATGTCTATAGATAGATCTTTACAGCAAAACGTATGCCTTTGCTGCGTCGGCGATATCTACGTCCGGGTATATAAGGGTCATCGACATATTCTCCTTTGCGAATATCGACGAAATCCGGACAAGATCGGCCGGCTCTCGAAGAAATCGTCGGCTCGCTCTCTTCCTGGAAGCTCTACCGGTGACAATCTGCGCTTAGAATGTATACGCTTATAGAAGCTATAGTGAGAGCAAAAAGTTCATACCAGGAAATTTATTATAAGAAAAGTCTTATTTGTAGAAAATACACATTAATTAGCAATTTTATACAATGAATACATTCTGTTCTAACAAACGAGCTTCGCATGTATTCCTGATTTTAGAAGCTAAATTTCTCGTCTGTACGAATACTTTTTGAGCATTCAACAATTATTTATTTTCGCTTATTTTTCAGATGATATATTTTGTATGATTAATCATCTTTTTATATAATTACACATCTTTTTGGTATATATAATGTTAAGAAACATACAGTCAATTTTATTCTTTATGAATAAATATTGTAGTTAATTATCCAACAAGAAATGATCATCAATTAAACGTCGAATTGACGTCAAATTGATGTCGAAATCATTGTATTTATATCGATTCATCAATTCGATGATTCATTTCTTGGTAGATAATATTTACTTTTTAAAAATAGGTTTTTTTTAAATATTTTCTCTATACGAATACTTTTTGCACTCACTATATATCGATTGAAAATCCGTTTCACGGACCTGACAAACCGCGCGATTTCGCGTTAATATCCTTCGAATTCTTATCGAGGAGCGAAACACTAGAGAACAGGATAAAGACAGATAATAGGTGTTTCTGTAGTTTGAATTATATCGATCTGTTTACACGTAACTGTTCCTTTGATAAACAAGCAAGAAAAATTAAGCGCCCATTTCGAGAATGTGATTTATCTTATTAGGTAGACGATTATTCATCGAGAACCGGATACTTTAATAAGAAAACTGTCGAGAAGATTTATTTTTAACTTGTCAAGGTTGTATTACATAAAGCTATAGAGTAATAATGAATAATAATTATTGAATATATATAAAAAATTCTAAATAAAAAAAATCACTCACTCGATAGATGGAGTTTCAGAAACGGTCCGCTTTATTTATCATTCCTTGATGATAATAACGATGATCAGACCATTATCCTTCGGACGCATGGAATCCTGCCAGGAGATCTGCGCTATGTTCGCGGGAATCACGGTGGACCTACGATTCCATCCAGACGTCCATCATCAGCTCATCCGGATGACTTTCACGTTTACTTGAAGCGCACATCGAAAAATTCACTTCCAATTGAGCAAACGCGTCCAATCACTGAAGTACTTTTCCCATCACTCCAAACTCAACTAATTATAATATTTACAAATTAAAAAAAAAATGACAAGGTTTGATATTTAATTTGTATTAATCTCCATGATCCTTTATTTTAGCGTTTAACCCCGTGATGATATTCCTACTTATAAACTAGGAGATGCAGTAGATTTATGTTATCGATAATCCATCACGTCGTACTTCGGACTATCCCGTCTGTATAATCTGCCGTAATTTCATGTCCACGACGATGATGCGGCGACGTTAACGCATCGCGCGCAACGCAGACGCGACAGACCGATGCGTCGGAGCCGGTGTGCAGCACGCGAGTGTGATCGGCGCGTCGAGGTATAACATAGCAGCGCCACGTGGTACGCCGAGGTCGTTACCGTGGGGGCTGTGGTCGTTAAGACTCCCCTTGGATCAACGACGACGGCGAGGCGAGGACGGCGACGATCTACACCCATCAACGTCAGTGAATTCTCTTCGCGGACTGGACACTCGACTGTGACGTAATCTGCAAGATTGTAGATCTAGAAATTATTAATTCTCATTTAAATAGCTACATTTATAGTATCAAAGGCAAATAAATACTCTATGCAAGAGATAAATTGGAATATATAATGTGGCACAGTCGAAAAAGAGTGATATACCTCGAAGTTGAAAAATGATATCGAATAAATCTTTTTTTTCCAGATAATTGTCATAAAATTCATTTTATCGAAGCAAACAGTAAATTGCTTTAATTGTTTAATTAAAAAGCAATTATTAAAAAATATAAAACGAATGACTTTTACAATTATTAAGTTTCAAATGTTCCATTAAGTAGAATATTATGTTATTTATAAATATTTTTTATTTAATAATATTTAATGTGAAGTGACTGTTAACATCAACTGTTTTTGTAATAACTCATTTGACAGTCATTAAAGTTTAAAAAAAGCGTAAGTATACTTAAATATGATAAATTACTTATCATTGTAATCGATATACTGGAGCGTTTGAAACATAATACTCGCTTTTTATATTTCATAAAAAAATTTTTTTCATAGGGAAGAACACACATTCTGTTATCACAAGCGTGAAGACTCCATACAATCTGATCCTTTCAAATTAGATCGACTATTCTTCCTCTCTAGTCTCATCAAGGACTGAAACTTAGAGCTATATTTAACTCACGAGTACGTAAAGCACGTCTCTATATGACGATCGATTGTCTTTTGTCTCGAATTGTCTATTCGAAGAACTCTTAACCATTAATTTGCACGAAACTTCTATCCTTCGATATTGATCAAATAATTATTATTATATCCATAAAGTTGATACGCAATTTCCTAGTTATTGGACTTGAGTTATTCTACAATGTTCTGTTTGCTCATAATACAATGCGACGCGCAAATTTATATACAGAAAGAAGAAGAAGAAGAAGAAAAACAAGAAAATATATTAAGAAAAAAAAGAAGTACAAGAAGAAAATGATAATGACTAAAAACAAAAAAAAGTGATGACTCATGTTGATGAGAAATAAATTACATGCGAAAAGAGAATATAGCTCTAAGCTATCTTGAGTATGAATTACGTTCTCATGGCAACTGTTGGCGGGGAAGGTCAAGTGTAGGGGTGAGATCGTGTACGTGAGGGCGATAGCAAACGGGGTTGCAACGTTGGATATACTGTGGTGCGACAATTTTTATTACGTAAATATTTTGATATTTACTTTACGGGCTACCTCAAAAATAGATATATTGCAGATGTGTGGATTTTACTCGGGGTACACACGTAGTACTTTCTTTTATCTTCCGGTAGCAACCATTGACCGATCGTTTGCATCAAAAAAAAAAAAAAAAAGCAGGCACATTTCAGATAGTGTGAACCTGTTTTTATCTGTCTTATCTGACTACAGTGTATCGTCGTGGCCTCCGCTTAATTTCGCTCACGCGATAGGCGTACGCATACATATCGATAAGTGTAATTTCACGAACATCGCTTACAAAGAAAAAAAGAGAGGGAGAGTTTCTCCTTTTTTCTTCTCGGTTTTTTTTGTTTGCCTCTCTCTTTCACGCAACCATTCTTATTTTATAAGATAGATAGAATAACAGTACGTTATATGCTATGTACTTTTTCATGCAATTTATTATGTACTCCTCACGAGGGAGAGAATTCATATAGGGTAAGATGGTACAATTTTGAACATGGTACAATTCTGAATATAAAATTTGAATTCAAATTCAAGGGTCAAGTTTGTTAACCTTGACCCTATATATTATAGTGTGAAGGGTTTTAAAGAGAACTATTCCAAACAGGGAAAAACTAAACTTAAACTCCGAAAATTAAATTCAAATCTTATTTCGTTCAGAATTGTACTATAAGATCAAAATTACCACTTTGTGTATTTCCAATTTTATTAATTCCTACCATCTGAATATTCTATACAGCATTATTAAAAGAACGTTACTAAAATGTTGCAATATTGAATGTTAAAATGTTAATGTTTTTTTCAACACAGAATCTACATTTCACGATGTTGATACAAATTTTGCTGCAATGCAAATTTTGTTGCAGCTTTCAATGTTTCTAAAAGATATTGATTCAGCATTAATGTACTGTATAGATATTGTATGATTTTTTTTAACTTTCTTTCTAGTGGTCACTTTCTTCACTGTATCTCATCTGCAAGATTATGGCTCGTTATCGTCATCCGCTCGCAGTAGACGTGAAACGTGATCCTGCAGGTAATACAATCGGCCACCTGTATTCCCATGCGGCGTTCATAATTCTTCCTATCGAACAAACAAAGGAACGGTTACTCGTCAGCAAACAGTTAACGACGTTCGCTCGACGCGGTTGCCCGCGTTCCTATCAGGTTACTCCGGACCTTTTCTCACCTTTCGTTGCTGGTGTCAATAGTGCCGCTCGGCACAATTCCAGACGGAGGCGATAGCACGATATCCCAATGAAAGAACACGATCCTGCACGCGAGATCCTGCGGCCGCTGTCTGGGTGACATAAGTGACATTTCTTCCCCTAAGAAGGTATTCCCCGGCAATCCTAACACGTACATCATGTCGACCATGGTACGGAGGACGAAATCCAATTTGGAGTATCGCGGCGACTCCAGATTTCCACCGGGTATATACACGATCCATCTACCATCGACGTGCGAACATACACTCGGAAATAGGCCGATTCATCTGAAAAGAAGTAGCGCGTATGAAGGAAAAGAGGTAATGCAGTTTGCATCAAGGGGATAACCACTAGCTGAAATATTGTCCCACAGATTATATGATTTCATATGATTTCATCTAATTACAAATAATTTTTTTCACCACATACGAAATCATTTGGTAAAATATACGATTTTATTTAATATATCATACAATGATTTCTTGTGGTTGCATATATAATTATCGGATTGTACATAGAGATTTCATATGAATTTTATAATAATTTTGAAAACTCTGTCCCACGATTACATTAAGGGATATGGCTACCCTAGCGAGCATAAAAAGAGTAATAAATTCAAAAATTCTTTTTAGTTTAAAATATAATTTAATATAAAATCAAATTAAAGCACTGGTTAGTGCATATATATACTAAAATCCACAAAATAATTTTTTTTAATTTTTTTTTATATCCAAAATAAAGGCGCTATTAATTTTTCTCAAAACGTTTTTCAAATCGGCTTGACAAATAATTCGAATAATTTTTATCGGAATGGGTTCGAATTTTAATTGCAACTTCTAGAGGCACATTCCGCAAAGAAGTAAATAGGGATTTTTCGATATATAAAAAACTTTTTATTTTATGAACAGTTTTTCATAAAATTTTTTTAGCAAAAAATGCAGGTGTGTCTTCAAATACCTGCCATTTTTGAAAATATCATATTTTCACCCCTATGTACTTCTGTCTAGATATTTTAATGTACATTTAAAAAAATTTCTTTTTTTGCTCTAAGTCAAAATTTGTGGATGTTATTAGATATAAAGCCTCGGAGCACCTCCAAAACAAAAACGTACTAGATTATGTCACCGGTAGCGCCGTTATTTTGAATGCAAAAAAAAAAAATAAAAAAAATTTTTTTGTGGACTTTAATATATGCACTAACCAGTGCTTTAATTTGATTTTATATAAAATTATTTTTTAAACTAAAAAAAATTTTTGGATTTATTGCTGTTTTTATGCCCATTAAGGTGGTCATACCCCTTAAGTGGTTATTCGGTTTACATCCTGTCCTCAGAAAAAAACGAACTATTGATATGACTTAATTCCTTGTTCGTTACAATTACTGCTGTATTAAATAAAAAATTTTTGAAATGTCCTATTTAAATTCATCTGTAAAATTAAAATAGTTTTGTAAAATATTGATGATATTGATAGATCGGGAAGATAAGGGATAAGAGCGGTACGAGGAAATATTTGATTCCTTCGAAGGAGCCTATGGTCTATCCGAAGATCATGACAAGAAAGGAATACGAAGACCTAAAGGAACGCAGCCGCGTGATCACGAAGGAAGAGAGACAAACGGCTGTGGAAACTGCGGAAAAAGAGAGGGAGAAACTGACGAAAGAGAGCTTGGCACGGAAACAGGCAATTCGCGTTATGGATATGAAAAAGGATCGTGAGAAGGATCCAAGAACGAAAGAGATTGAGGAGGAAGCGAAAAAAAGAACAATGCACATCCTCGAGCGGGCGTACAACATGCGTCTAGAGCAAGAGGAGGAGATACAGAAGTGCAATCGTATCATCTTGCAAACTAAATGCCGAGCTATCCGCGACGCTCAAGTAACCCATTGATTTTATAATAGAATCCCGCATATGACATAACATCTTGGTAATGTCTAATTTTCATACATTTAGCTATCCATTTGCAGATCGCAGAAAAAAAATTGATGGGACAAGAGCTTCTCGAGGAAGAGAAACGGTTGAACGACATGATAGAAGAAGAGAGGAGATGGGCAATCAAGGAAGAATCGCGAAAAGAAGAAGAGAAGGCAGCTAAAAGGCTACGATTCGCTAAGATCTTGCAGGAGCAGATCATAGAAAACGAGGAACAACGGATTATCGAATTTGAGAGAAAGCAGGAGGAAAGCCGGCTTATCAATTTAAATAATATAGCGTGGCAGCAAGACGAGATCGAGAAGCTACGCAACAAGGAGGCTGAAAACGCAAAAGTGCGACAGGAAATTGCAGAAGGGAATGAACAATTGAAACACTTTAAGGCTATGGAAGAGGAAGAAAATAGAATTATAGATTTAAGGTTTTTCCAAGGCTTTTAAAAATCACGTATCAATTTTTAAAATTAACTACCTTGAAATCATCTCTTTAATATTTCCTTGAAAAAATATGATTTTTATCAAATTTAACTTTTTAGGATACAGAATTATCATCGACTAAAAGAGGAGAGAGAGGCAAGAAAAGCGGAAGAACAGAAATTAGAAAGATTGAAAAAAGAGCGAGAGAGAACCAGAATGGCGATGCGAACGGTGCAAGCATACGAGCTTCAGGTATTATATGTTGAACTTTAAAACTTCGCATAAGTACATCTATTATGTAAGTTACATTAGATAACAGTTATAATTAGTTACATTAGATAAGTTATATTATATAAAAAATTCTACAAAAATATATTTTATAAACTAGAGAAGATCGTGAATTTTCGCTAATGTAAATGCAATAATTTGCACGATATATCATATTGCGTTGCACGTATCGTTCCATATACTTCTTCTATAATTACCTACATACATCCTTGCGTGTCTCAACTACCTGTTGTCGAGGGTCAATGAATCCACGAGCGCCACGTCAGACCTCGCTATCTACGTGTTCTCCTTTCGAAATTGCGCTTCGCGTTTTTTTTATCGTGATTATTTTTGTTGAACAGGGAATTAAGTACCATACATCGCACTCCGTAATGCTCTTTTCGCTTAAATTAATTAAAACTATTAATGTACATTGAACATAATAGATCAGTCCTGTTTTTCTGACGTCTATTTTTAATGCGTAATATATCATAATTTATTTCAAAGAAACATTTAATGAGTAGTAAATAATAGAATAAGTTATTAATAACTGCGAACAAATCGCGGCGATAAATTTGCAGGCGCAAATTGATGAAATCAACGCGGCTCGAGTTCAGGAAGAAGTAGAACGAGAATGGAGACGGAAAGAGAAGGAAGAAGCTTTAAAAAAATTGGAAGCTCTAAGAATTCTTCAAAAAGAAAGAGAGGTACAAGTAAACAATAAGCGAATAATGCAAGCCATCGAAATCGAACGGGAGAGGCGAGAATTTGAAAGGATTGTACGTGTACAACAAGCATCTTTTTCTAAAGAAAAGAAGGAACTCGAGCAAAAACAGCAACAGGCTTTAATTCATCGCAGTGAAATATTAAAGCAGGTTTGTACCATTTGTCTTCGTATATCTGAAAAAATATATATATTGGTTGATATATTGAATGTATACAATAATATGTATACATATATATTTTTCATACAACACAGTATTGATTATATTATTCATTTATTTCGCTTGGATAGGTAAATGAAAAAGAACGAGAACGCATTGCTCAGAGGCAAAAAATGTTCGAAGAAGGCCTGGCAATACGTACTGAAACTGCAATGCGTAAGAAGAAATTACAAGATGCGATGGAACGAAAGTGTCAAGAAATGAGAGAAAACAAAGTTCCCGATATTTATATTAATGAAGTGAAACGAATGATTGAAACTATTCAATGAATTATTTCATCAAGCTGAGAAATAAATATAAGATTTAAATCTAATATATAAAAAATAATAAATTACGTATATCTTTGATTTCATTATACATATACGTAAGAGATTATATATAATATATATATATATATATATATATATATAAATCTCTTTGATTAGAACTTTTAATTTTAATATAATTTAAGCTTTTTTTCTTGTAATTATATTTGTACATTATATATGATATATATTAGAATTTTTACACAGCTATGTACAAGTTTATAGAAAATTTAGTCTTTCATTAAGTCTTTTTTGTGACACATCACTTCCATATCATTAGAACGTACGGATCGCGTTCGATAATATCTTCAATTTGCGCGGCAGATTGGCCCGTGCTACAGCATATTTCATCGAGGCTGTAGGTTCCTGTGAAATACTTGTAAATTGGATTATTTTTTGCTTCTTCGCTGCAAGATGCACCAGGAAGAAGTACGGGATACTGTAAGAGATGATTGAATTAATATACCGTTATACAGTACTGCAATGTGAAAGCTACTCACATTATATACCCTTCTAATAAGTCCCTCAATCAAGCCAAATTGTACCAATCTTCTTTCATTTATTCTGAGATTTTGTGGATTGAGACGTTGACATAAGTCTTTCATACTAACGCCGTAAGTCATACTTGAATACATACGATATATGTCTCTAAAGTGTGCAGGTTGTCTAGCTATAAACAAAAACAAGCTTTGTCGCGATTTTAAAATAATCATAACGCGTTCGAAAAATCACTCACCTAATTTAGAAGCATATGCTATACATCTTTCCTGTAATTTTACATCATCCGGCAATTTTCGTAATTTTGGAGTCACTGCATAGACGTTGCTATATTGAAATATTGGGATCAGCGTTACAACTCCATAATATCTGCAAGCAGAAGAATGTCACATATAATATAATCAATAAGGAAATGCTATTTCTCTTGTCAAATGTCTCGTACACAAGATTTTGCACGCAGCTTTTGACTAAATTATTCTCTACATCGGCCTCAGCCGCTATGCGTGCCACATGATTAAAGCCGTCGATATAAGGCAATACTTGTTGCGTGGTCAAATCCCATTGATCATTCTGGAATGTATCCCTGTCTTCCAAAAATATTGGTACTTGATGATCAAGAACTGGTTTTGGCTCAGGCGCCAATCTCACAACTTTCAAATGCGATGTCATTGTTCCTTCTAATAAAATATCACACATGACATATCACACATGACATATCATGATGAGACATTTTAAATATATATGAAATTTACCAGTCAATGTACACATTTTGTGTAGATTCAAATCCTGCATGACTTGTGCGAGCATCTCTGCCAATCTAGTCTTGTCATCCGATGCAGACAGAAAGCAATTCTCTATTTCCAGAGCCATCTGACAATTACATGAAAATTAGGTGTACAAATTGCTATATTTTCAAAATATTAAAGATATAGAAAATTCCATTAAAAAATCCATAAAAAAAACTTACCAAAAAATCCGACATTTTCTTAACCACTGGTTCGTAATGAACAGTACGAGCGTTTGAATCACAGACAAAACACAAATTGAAGTAAAATGCATTTCTTGCGTATTTTTTATCGTCAATCTTCACGGGAAAACCTAAGATTTTATAATCCTTTAGTGTGCTAAAAGAAAAGAAAGTTCTTAAATAAAACATAAAGAATTTGATCAGGTAACTTTTTTTTGCATTTTTACTTAAACTTACATTGTAATGGTACTTCTTTGTAATTGTGCTTTTGGTATGATGTAAACACTGACATTGTCGAAAATATCTTTAGATATGTAATTATCAGGCACCTGTAAAATAATATAATTACCGTAAATTACAAACACAAACAAAATATTTAATTACATCTTCACAATGCATGACCTAACCTGGCATGTAATTTTGGGTCCCACTATATGGTGAAATTCAGCAAAGAATATGCATCTAATGGGATCCTCTTGTTCCTTGTCCTCAACATTTTCCAACGAAGTAGATGCCATTGTGTCTTTTTGCCTCTTTATTGAGATTTGAAAACCTAGTTAAAGAAAGAACTCATTCATGCGGCATCATTTAAAGTCAAATGCACTGCTGCCATCTAACCAATCTTAACATGTGTAAGTGAACTAAAATGAATCACAGCTGACAACACGTGTGTGCTTGAGATGCTGAATTAAACACAACGAGGCATGTTTTTGGAAAGAATATTTCAAGTATACACATCTCCTTTTAATTTTGTAATTTTATAAAGATGAGTAAAAGGAAACTCGACGACGAGACCGACACCGCTCCGGCGGATGTTGAGGTCAAAAGGGTTCTATCTCGTTTTAAATCGGACACTGGCGAAATTCTGCCTGGTGGCCTGTTGGACCTGCCAGTTGATATCACTGTAGATAAATTGCAAGCAATTTGCAATGCTCTGCTGCAGCAAGAAGAGCCGTTGCCTCTGGCATTTTATGTAAATAATGTAGAAGTCACAGATGTATTAGAGAAGTATGTTGGCAAAGATTTCAGTATCAGCGAAGACGTAGTGGAGATTATATATCAGCCACAGGCAGTATTTAAAGTCAGAGCTGTCACGAGATGCACCGGATCTTTAGAAGGTCATCAGCAATTCCATGCAGCACTCCAATATCTAATAAAACGAATATTTATAAATGTATTTTGTTTATACAGGTCATAAGGAAGCAGTTATATCCGTTGCGTTTTCACCGGATGGCAAACATCTAGCCAGTGGTTCTGGTGACACAACAGTCAGATTGTGGGATATCTATACGCAAACGCCGCATTATATATGTGAAGGTCATAGACACTGGGTCTTGTGCATTGCCTGGTCGTCCTGTGGGACTAAGCTAGCATCTGCATGTAAAAATGGCTTGATTTATTTATGGGATCCCAACACAGGCAAACAAATGGGTAGAGATATAGAAAATACATTCATCTAGCTTACTTTCTTCTCTGGCACGAATTAACTTCTTTCCATATTTTTTCATGTAGGAAAAGCCATGACAGGACACAGAATGTGGGTGACGTCTCTATGCTGGGAACCCTACCATAAGAATCCAGAGTGCATGTATTTAGCGAGTTCGTCTAAGGACTGCGACGTACGAATTTGGGACACAAAACGAGCACAAACTTGTCGGGTTTTGTCTGGACATACGAAAAGTGTGACCTGTGTTAAGTGGGGTGGGAGCGGTCTTATTTATTCTGCTTCTCAAGACAGGACTATCAAAGTGTGGAGAGCGGAGGACGTATGTATCGAGGATTTAAAATTATTAGCATCCATTTATATTTTCAACTGATTAAGTCAATTTCAGGGCGTATTGTGTAGAACCTTAGAAGGCCACGCTCATTGGGTAAACACTTTAGCCTTGAATGTCGATTATGTGCTTAGGACTGGACCTTTTCAATTGGGATTGACTGCAAACCAAACAGACAGTCCATTAGAATATGCAAAAAAGCAGTATGAAACTGTAGGTGAAGAGAAGCTTGTGTCTGGATCTGATGATTTTACATTGTTCCTATGGAAGCCAGAAAAAGAGAAGAAACCTATTGGTACATTGCATGATTTTAACATACAATTAAATCAATCAACTGTAAGAAATATATTGTGAAAATATTTTTCAGCAAGAATGACGGGCCATCAGCAGCTTATCAACGACGTTAAATTCTCGCCGGATGGTCGTTTAATTGCGTCTGCATCCTTCGATAAGTCCATTAAACTGTGGGAATCTAATACCGGCACATATATCGCTTCATTAAGAGGTCACGTTCAAGCGGTTTATTCGATAGCTTGGAGCGCTGACTCTCGTCTGCTGGTCAGTGGCAGCGCGGATTCAACTTTAAAGGGTAAATACACTGTCAGATATACGAAAACTTATCAATTCAGGATCTTAGATAGTTGGAAGTAACATAATCCTTTCTATAGTTTGGAATATAAAAACTAAAAAATTAAGTCAAGATTTACCTGGTCACGCTGATGAAGTTTATGCAGTCGACTGGTCACCAGATGGTCTACGAGTCGCTTCAGGTGGAAAAGACAAAGTTTTACGACTATGGCAAAATTGAATTGAATATATAATTCAAGTAAATAAATTTATAAAGAAAATTAAGTATGTCTTTATCTTATTCTTTAAATAAATTATTGTTTTATATATATCAGCTAATAATATTAAGCATGGAGAGAGATTAAAAATTACATATTTTTTATAAAGATCAGTCCTGCATGATACAAATGCAATTAAATTAACAGTTAATTTATTAAAGACTGGATTAATCTTTAATAGAGAATGCAATTAAAACTATTGATTTCTTGATTAGATATCAAATGTGTTAGCATATTTCAAGGAATGATTGTGGGGATATATGAACTTTGTAAAAGTAATAAATCAAGTAAAGTTTGGTTTTAAGATATAAGGATAAGATTATATAAAAATTGAAGGAAAGTTATATAAAGTCTAATTCGTCATACAATTAATTAATAATTACAGGAAGGCAATACATAAAACTTCAAATTTAACGCAGATTATTATAATACAGTATTAAATCTTATGTGTTAATGTCTGAACTAAAAAAAAACGTACAGAAGATTAAGAAGATTAAAAACATCATGACTGATATTTTAGACACATAAGTATAATTAAAAAATATTTTAGTAACAAAGAACACCTGGCGTTTGCTCACAGCTCTTATTTTACTTTATTGATTGTTTTATATTACAGATTTTGTATTTATATCTGCAAATTTAATCTCTAAATTTAAAGCGGTACAGTACGGCTGCAGATATTTTTAATATTCCTTATCTCTTCAAAGTCTTGAAATTTTGTACAAATATATATTATATATGTTATATATAGTACTTACATTGTTCAATTAAAATTTCCTCATTTTGTATTCTTGCTAATTTTGCGGCACTCGTATTCGCCAACTCTGTTTTCCCTTTTCACAGTAAATCGATTGAAATTTTCTTTTAGTTTTTCTATCAGTACGTTTTACAGA